AGGCCTTAACCATTTAAGCAGGCCTACCTCAACTACCTCAAGACTTGATCACTTAAGAAGACCTACCTCAACCACCTCAGGCCTTGAACACTCAAGAACGCCTACCTCAACCACCTCAGGCCTTGAACACTCAAGGAGGCCTACCCCAGGCCCTTTCAGGTACCAGGTAACTTCCAGAACCTTGTGCAGCTCAACCTCCTCACCGGATGAGTCCTTGCAAAAGGATCTTTCTCTCACCATCCACAAGGCCTCGTTCTGGACAGGCCCCACAGACAGCCAGATAGAGCCTGGGGAACCCTCTTTCATCAGCCCTGTTATACAAGAGATGCTTGAAGTACAAATACGCAAAAGAGTCCAACTAAAACTTTGCAAGGAAAAAGGAAAAGGAAGATCAGACCTTTCCTATGGCTGTATGGGCAGTATGCTGCATGTCTGCAGCAGCAAGGAAGCCAATATCACCTCACGGCTCTTCTCGAGCAAAGACAACAATTCTGAGCAGCTGTCGGGTCACCAGAAGGTCATAGCTAATGACTTAAAGGACAAATATATGCAGCTTTACTGGGGTCTCCCCTGGCTCCACAGTGAGTCCCTAGTGGCTGCTGTCAACATGGCAGGGTCCCCACTAGATCCCCCCTCCATCTTGTTTAATGGACTCTCTACTTACAGCCCGTTACACGGTAACACTAAAGGCCTTCCACAGCTCTGTTCTCCAAAGCCCTTGCTTCAACACTTGGTCAAATCCGATCCTTTGACTCTAAATTTTTCTTAGTCCCGAACACCATCAGAGACTAGAATCCAAGCCGAGGCCCATGACCCATCCTCTCTCTCAAAGCTGTCGTGCAATTCAGCTCCACTAGGAAAGATGGGGCTTCTCGTCTTATGCCTCCGAGAGCCCAATTTATTGTCTCACCTAGTGATCGACACCTAGAGCGCTACCTTTTGAAGAAACACCAAGAAATCTGGAGTGATTTGCCAGTATTGGTTAAAAAAAATCACAGGAAGCATTTAATCAACAGACTTCCAACAGTTGGGGCTTGCAACAGTCAGGGGTCTGTTGTCCATCTCCAGGGGGATTACATTATCCCCAAGCTACTGGAGCAGACAGAAGAAGATTTCAAAAAGAGACTCATACAACACCAAGGTCCATGGCCCCCCAAAGTTCAGCTATCTCTTGGCCTGGGTCAGGCAGAAGTTAATCATAGGACTTCATGTCCCTCAGCACAGGCAAATGAAAGTGGTTAGTATCTACAGACTGTCTCATTTAAAGGTCAAAAGATGTTACAACCATGGAGGACCCCACACAAGGATCTTCCAACCCCTCTGGGAAGAGCTCTGGAAAAAGATCTGCACAGGCCCCCAGAAGGTTCCCTGGGCAAAATTCTTGAGGCCTTCTCTGAGACAAAAGGGGAATCTTGACACATGAGATGCCAAACAAGTGACCTGCAAAGTGGGACCAGGAAAGAAACAGCTAGGAGGCACCATGAGAAACAACGCAAATCCTAACAGAAAGCAGACCAGTGACACTGAGTTGTCAGGCAGAGTCTGTTATGACAAATGTGTAGACCATGCACTCATTGGTCCCATCTGAAATCTCCAAGCCAAATCTGGAAACTTCAAACAAACCATCCTTCAATGGAGCAATCACTAAAAAGAACTCTACTAATGGGCCTTCCTTCCTAGATCTGGGCACCCAGAAGGTGCTAGATGCACATATTACAAGACACCTGGTGAGGCACAGATGGAGCCTGCCCCTCAGAGGCCTCAAGACGATACATATTTTGAAGATGAAGAAGGACACAACTTTACCCTTTCCACAGTCCTCCATTGAGTCTCTGTCTTGGGACTCTACAGACAACTCTATCATGCAACTGGCCAGTAACCTGGGAGAACCCATCCAGTAATCCCCATAATGAGACATGAAGACAAAAGCTTTCTCTGTGGAATCTCAGTCCACACAGAACTGTCCTGCCCTCCAGACAGCACTCCTGAGAGATTCTCCACCTAGTAACATTTCTGGGCCCTCTGAAGCCCCTACAACTGCCCTCGGGTACAATGTGACTTCGGTGTCCACTCGAGAGAGCCTCATGGGTAGAGCGTGGCACAAAGATACACTTGTTAGATTTTGGGAAGAATACCCAGAGCCTAATCAGGCCGAATCCGGAAGAATGAGGGCTAGACTTTAAGACATTATGACAACGAGGTCTCAGTTCAAGAGATCAGTGGGGCTTCTCAGTCCTCAAGGAACAGGGGTACCAGGAAGCTGGAGGAGACAGAGGAGGAAGAATCTTGTGAGTGGACAATCCCCATGGACACTGCGAAGATGGCTGATTTTCAAATCAATCAGTTTCTGGAGGCAAGTGGAAATCTACCTAAAACCTTTCCCAGGATGCAGAGGACTTGAGCCTGAGCACACCTCACTGCTCAGTGGCTGCCGTCATCCTGCAGGATTGTGCCACTGGCGAGTTATGCCAACACTGGAACCAGGAGGTTGTGATTTGCTGCAGAGATCCTGGCTTCAAGGGCCGTCCAGTGCAAACTCAAGACTGAGCCCGCTACAATCAAGCCAACCTTCCATTACAGGTCCCCTTTTCTTAGGAAGCGATAGCAATGTCCTCAAGTATTACAAATACAGGAGTCACACGCATAGACATAGATATGTCACAAATATCCAAAAAGATAAATACAGAAGTCCTCCCAGGCAGGATATACAACTTAAAGGGATGAAGCCTGACTAAGCATACACATCAAATAATGTTAAGTTTTGGGATAGAATGAAGACAGTTTTACTATCAATTTTAAACCCAAAATATAAAGTGTCAGACAACTCCAAAGAAAAATGCAAGGGTGTACCATCGATGACCCATAGCCAGAGATTCAAAAAAACATTAGCACAGTTTGTCATGCAAAGCTCAAGATTCAGAGTCAACCTTAACCTGATGGAGGGATGCCCTACGGTAACAAGCAGGCCCTGGCATCCAGAGACCATGTCTACCTAGCCAGCTCCTATTAGGACAGAGCCCATGTTGCACATGTTCCAGGGATCCCTGTCTACTGTCCGAGGCATGGACATTGCATTAAAGTATGATCTACAAAGAAGTCTATCCCCAAATTAAACTTTTAGACATTACTTCCTCTAAGTATGTTTTATTGTGAGGTTATATCTGCTTGCTAAGCCACAAAGAAATGTCTGCATGTGGTCACCTTAGAGTATTGCATCAGGAGAGGACATGGCTCCACAAAGGGGGTCAGAACCACCCTCAAGATCCATCACTGTTATTAGAGTCATTTATACTGTAAATATGGAAATAAAGGGCTTTAGGATTTGTGTGTGTGTGTGTGTGTGTGTGTGTGTGCACATGCATGCCCGCGTGTGAATGTGTGTTTGTGTGTATGCAGGGAGGAGTCAAAATGAACCCTAGAAGACATAAACAAGAAGTCTTTAGGAGTAGGGCACGTGAAGAGTCAACCAGGTAAGACCCTACCCTAAGGTTCAGCTTCCATCCCAACCGCCACATGCCTTGACTACTGAAGCTGGTCCACCTCAATCTCTACAAGCCTTGATGACACAAGTAGGCCTGCCTCAGGCCTTTCCAGGTACCAGGTAGCTGCCAAAACCTGGTGCCACCCCAAATCCTCACATGGTCAGTCCTAGCAAGAGAAACTTTCCCTCAGCATCCAAGAAGCCTTGCTGAGGGACAGGCTCCACATACAGGCAGATGGAGGCTGGGAACTCTCTTTTATCAACCCTGATATCCAGGAGATGCTGGAAGTTCAGATTAGGAATAGCGTTCCTACTGAAAGTTTGGAAGTGGAAATGAAAAGAGAGATCTGACTGTGCCTTAAGCTGCATGGACCATATCCTCTAGTAGTGAAGCCGGAAGCAGGTCAGCACCACCTCATGCTCCGTTTGCAGATGAAACTGCAAATCAGAGCAGTTTTCAAGTTCTTGAAAGTTCCCTTACCAGGTTTTAGACAACAATTTACAGCAGAAATGGTCCAGTTTTTCTGGGACTTCTACTTTCTCTCCAATGAGTCCCCCGTGGTTACTGTCAACACGGCAGCATCCCCACTAGATCACCTCCCCATCTAATCCAACAGACGATCTATTACACCCCTAAACAAGTGAGGACTATCATAACTCCACAGCTCTTTCTCAGAATTCCTTGTTTCATCAATTGTCAAATCCAAACATTTGACTCAGAATCAGTCCTGGTCCTTATTGCTACCAGTGGCTTAATCCAAATCCAGGCACATGATCCATCCTCTCTCCCAAAGCTACAGCACCAATCAGCTCCAACAGTACTTTCAGGAGTGAACCCCCATTGTTCTGCTGGCTGCAGATATCCTGTCCGGCCACCATAACAAAAGTTCTCAAATGTGGACTCAGATTCTAGGCATATTTCCATAGTACTAGGAATAAAATAGGGCTTCCCAGATGTTTAAGCAAGCAGTCTATACAGAATTATATTTTGTAATGACTCTAACTAACCATTTTTAAATCACAAGTGAGGAAGAAGGCAGGAGGGGACTCAGATCAAACAAGCTAACAGCTAACTGTCATAATAATTGAGCTGTCCAGCCGGGTGGTGGTGGCGCATGCCTTTAATCCCAGCACTCAGGAGGCAGAGGCAGGTGGATCTCTGTGAGTTCGAGGCCAGCCTGGTCTAGAAGAGCTAGTTCCAGGACAGGAACCAAAAAGCTACGGAGAGACCCTATCTCAAAAAAATCAAAAATAAATAAATAAATAAATAAATGAGCTGTCCAAATGGTGCTTCTCTGAGGATATGGGCTTATGGGTTCTTCCATTTCTTTCCTTCTTCTGTCAGAGACAATGCAACAAGAAGTTATTACCCTACGAGTTTGGGAACTAAACATATAATGTCCTTACTTAGCCAACAAAGACTCACAATGCATTGCAGTTTTTAATGCATCATGTTAGAAATTCATGGCAGATACCTAAGACAAAGAAGCCTTCACATAGGAAGAGTTTTATGACTCACAGTTGCTGGGATTTGTAGTCCATGGTTCCCCGGCCCCATAGTTTTGGGCCTGCAGTAGAAGATATGCAAAGTTGCACATGATGGACTAGCACAGTTTAATTCAACGCTTCCTGGAAGCAGAGAAAAATGGAAACATTGAAGAAGGACACCAAACAATCTAGCTTTGAGATTGACCTAAGACATAACCATAAAAGACATTGGCACCTCAGGAGTTTTCTCTCAGCTTTCAATAATGCCCCTAACTTATGACAGCTTTAGTGGATTAGTCTCGTGATCGTGTCAGAGCTGTCACTGTTCAATCACCTCTCTGTGATGAGATCCACCCGCTAGGACCAAGCGTTCAATACAAGACCTTTTCAGAAACTCTTCATATCCAACATGTAGTATATGTTAACAACTAAAAAGAGCTTCCTGAGTTTTCAGGTCTGTGATACACACATAACATTTACTATACAATCCTAAAGACCTGTGTTCAAACCCCAGAACATCCAAATAAAGCTACATACAGCTGCACTCACCTATGATGTTATGGCTCCTAAGGCCAAATAGGAGATAGGCACAGGAGATTTCAACACTCCTCTCTCACCAATGGACAGGTCAACCAGACAGAAACTTAACAGAGAAATAAGAGAACTAACAGATGTAATGAATCAAATGGACTTTACAGACTTCTGTAGAAAATTTCCCCACCCCCCCCCAAACAGAAAAGAATATACCTTTTTCTCAGCATCTCATGCAACCTTCTCAAAAATTGATCACATATTCGAAAACAAAGCAAACATCCACAGATACAAAAACAATTGTAGTAACCACCTGTGTACTAACAGATCACCATGGAATAAAGTTAGAATTCAACAACAATTCAACCCCCCCAGAAAGTCTACAAACTCATGGAAACTGAACAGTCAACTACTGAACCACTCTTAGGTCAAGGAAGAAATAAAGAAAGAAATTACAGTCTTCTTTGAATTCAATGAAAATAAAGACACAACATACCCAAACCTATGGGACACTATGAAAGCAGTGTTTAGAGGAAAGTAAGCACTAAGTGCCCACATAAAGAAAATGGAGAAAGCACACATTAGAGACTTAATAGCACACCTGAAAGCTCTAGGAAAAAAAAGCAGACTCACACAGGAGGAGAAGATTGGACATACTCAAACTGAGGGCTGATATCAACTAAATGGAAACAGAAAACAATTCAAAGAATCAATGAGAAATGGCTCCAGAGGTTAAGAGTACTGAATGTTCTTCCGAAGGTTCTGAGTTCAATTCACAGCAACCACATGGTGGCTCATAACCACTTGTAATGAGATATGGTGCACTTTTCTGGCCTGCAGGTGTGGAGGATGAACACTGAGTACATAATAAATAAATAAATCTTTAAAAAAAAAGAATCAATGAAACAAAGATCTGGTTCTTTGAGAAAATCAACAAGATTGACAATCCCTATGCAAACTAATCAAATGGCAGAGAGAGAACACACAGATTAACAAGATCAGAAATGCAAAGGAGGACATAACAACAGACACTGAGGAAATTCAGAAAATCACTAGGACTAACTACAAAATATGCCACAAAATTGGAAAATGTAAAAGAAAAGGGCATGTTTTAGATAAGAACCATATACCAAAATTAAATCAAGACCTGGTGAACAATTCAAATAGACCTATAAGTCACAAAGAAATAGAAGCTGTAATCAAAAACCTCCCAACCAAAAGAGACCAGGACCATATGATTTTAATGCTGAATACTACCAGAACTTCCAAGAAGAGCTAATACCTATACTCCTTAATGTGTTTCACAGAATAGAAACAGAAGAGTCATTACCAAACTCTTTTTAAAAAGCTACAGTTACCGTGATCCAAAACCACAAAAAGACTTAATCAAAAAAGAGGATTACAGACCACTCGCACTCATGAACATCGACACAAAAATTCTCAATAAAATACTGGCAAACTGAATCCAAGATAATATCAAAAATTATTGATTATGATCAAGTAGGCTTAATCCCAGAGACGCAGGGCTGGTTCAACATATGAAAATCTATCAATGTAGTCCATCATATATATAAGATGAAAGATAAAAAAACATATGATCATTTCATTAGATGATGAAAAAGCATTTGACAAAATTCAACACCCCTTTATGATAAAGGTCTTGGAGAAGTTAAGGATACAGGGTTAATAACTAAATATAATAAAAGCAATACACAGATAGCCGATAGCTAACATCAAATTAAATGGAGAGAAACTTAAAGCCATTCCACTAAAATCAGGAACAAGACAAGGCTGTCCACTCTCTCCATACTTCTTCAATATAGTTCTTGAAATTCTAGCAATAACAATAAGACATCATAAGGAGATCAAGGGGATTCGAATTGGAAAGGATGTCAAACTTTGTTATTAGCAGACGATGTGATAGTGTCCATAAGTGATCCCAAAAACACTACCAAAGAACTCCTACAGCTGATAAACACCTTCAGTAATGTAGCAGGATAAAATATCAACAAAAAAATCAGTAGCCCCACTATACACACAGAGAGAATAAAGAGGCAGAGAGAAAAATCAGAGAAACTTCACCTTTCTGGATAGCCACAAATAGCATAAAGTATATTGGGGTTACATTAACCAAGGAAGTGAAAGATCTATTTGACAAGAACTTTAAGACCTTGAAGAAAGAAAATGAAGAGGATACCAGAAAATGGAAGTATCTCCCATGCTCTTAGGTTGGTAGGTTCAATATAGTAAAAATGGCAATTCTACCAAAGGCAATATATAGATTCAATGCAATCCCCATCAAAATCCCAACAAAAATCTCCATCAAAATCCCAACAAAATTCACAGACCTTGAGAGGACAATAATCAGCTTTATATGGAAAAACAAAAAACCCAGCATAGCCAAAACAATCCTATACAATAAAAGTATTTCGGGAGGCATTACCATCCCTGACTTCAAACTCTATTACAGAGCTACAGTAATGAAAACAGCTTGGTATTGTCATAAAAACAGAGATGTCGAGAAACAAAATCGAATGGAAGACCTGGATATTAATCCACAAACCTATGAACATCTGATAAAGGAGCTAAGATTATACAATGAAAGAAAGAAAGCATCTTTAACGAATGGTGCTAGCATAACTGGAGGTCAACCTGTAGAAGAATGAAAATAGATTCATATCTATCACCATGCACAAAACTCAAGTTCAAATGGATTAAAGACCTCAATATAAATCTGACCACACTGAACATGATAGAGGAGAAAGTGGGAAGTAGTCTGCAACACATGGACACAAGAGACCACTTCCTACGTATAACTCCAGTAGCACACACAATAAGAGCAACAGTGAATAAATGGGATCTCCTGAAACTGAGATGCATCTGGAAGGTAAAAGACACTGTCATTAAGACAAAAAGTCAACCTACTGAATGGGAAAAGATCTTCACCAACCCCACATCAGACAAAGGCCTGATCTCCAAAACATATAAAGAACTCAAGAAACTAGACATTGAAATTCTAAATAACCCAATTTTAAAAATGGGGTTCAGAACTGGATACAGAATTCTCAACAGAAGAAGTTCAAATGGCCAAAAGATACTTAAGGTCATGTTCAACTTCCTTAGCATTCAGGGAAATGCAAATAAAAACAACTTTGAGATACCATCTTATGCCTCTCAGAATGGTAAAACCAAAAACACCAATGATAAAGCTTGCTGGAGAGGATGTGGAATAAGGGGAACACTCATCCATTGCTGACGGGAATGCAAACTTGTGCAACCACTTTGGAAATCAGTGAGGCAGTTTCTCAAGAAACTGGGAGTCAATCTACCTCAGAATCCAGCAATTCCACTCTTGGGAATATACCCAAGAGATGTCCAATCATACTACAATAGCATTTGTTCAATTATGTTCATAGCAGCACTATTTGTAATAGCCAGAACCTGGAAACAACCTCGGTGCATTCAATGGAAGAATGGATAATGAAAGTGTAGCACATATACACAATAGAGTTCTACTCAGCAGTAAAAAAAAAAAAAAACAATTACATCTTGAGTTTGCAAGCATATGGATGGAAATAGAAAACACTATACTGAGTGAGATAAACCAGACCCAAAAAGATGAATATGATATGTACTCATTCATTAGTTGAATCTAGCAAAAAACAAAGGACATTTAGCTTATAGTTCATGATCATAGAGAAGCTAAATAATATGGTGAACCCAAAGAAAAACATATATAGATCCCCCTGGAAACTAGAAGCAAAAGTTGGGAGCATGGGTGTGGGGGTGGGGTAGAGGGAAAAGGAGAAGGGGAGGATAAGGGCGAAGAGGAGGATTGGGGAGAGCTTGGGGGAGTGGGATGGTTGAGATGGAGGAAGGGTGGATATGGGAGCAGGGAAGACGATATCTTAATTAAGGGAGCCATTTTAGGGTTGGCAAGAGACTTGGCTCTAAACGGGCTCCCAGGTGTCCACGGAGATGTCCCCTGCTTGGTCCTTGGGCAGTAGAGGAGAGGGTGCCTAAACTGGCCTTGTCCCATAGCCACACTGATGAATATCTTGCATATTACCATAGAACCTTCAGAAAGTCCAGCAGTCATTTTTCTGTGAATCCTGCATGTCCAGTTTATACAGTGTACCCTTAAGCAGTCCAGACAAGAGTAGTTCCTTGCCCAAATGGCTAGCTTGTCACATTGAAGGCAAATTCCATAACGAATTTCTTCAATGCCCATCAATCTCTCAGAAGTAATTGCTGCTGCCAGAAGCAGACATGTTTCACTGTCAAGAATATTCTAAGTTCCTAAAAATTTTAATAACATATTCTATAGGTCTTTGAGGTGTTGAAGATTATCTTACAGATCTATGTATATCCAGAAAATGTACAGAATGTAATTAAAAGTTTGATTACTATAGAAGAATACCTACTAATCTGTATTTCTTAACTATACATTGCATTTTTAAATAAGCTGTCTAAACATATCTTAAACAAGAGTAGAAACATGCATATAACAAACTGACCTTAAATTTATATCCATAAACCAATGTCCATACCAAGAAAAGCATTCATTTCTATTTTTATATACATCCCCCACCATTTTTTTTGAGATAGAG